TTTAACTAGTAATCTGTAGGAAATGATGTCTGAAGTATCCATTCCACAAATCTCGATGGCGGATATCTCATATATGTCTGCTATGACTGGCAATACTTCTACGACTTCCAAACCCCTCCAATACAAACCCAAGTTTGCTGAATTCATGTGCACGCAAAGAGAGGTCAGCTTATCCTTGGCAGTGTTTCCTTGCCTAATCTCCTATAGGCTACCGAGTTTGCCATCGAGGTGACCTCTCTTGTAATCCCCAACGCTTTTTGGGGTTCGGAGCACAACTTTGAAATCATCAAGAAACGTATGTGCTCGAGACTGTGATGAAAGTTGACTCGTTCTCATCAATCTTTAGGGATCGCACAGTTCATTGCCTGCCGACGATTCGAGACGCTCACCCTTCACAACATCATGCAAGGGTTGAACCTCTCTGAATTCGACTGGGCGTTTACTACGCCTAAGGCTGCCGGAAAGAAGACACACCGTCCTCTGTCCGATACAGAAAAGGCTCTCGCACTGGTTCACGAGTTCCTATATTGGTACTTTGAGTCCTTCCTGGTCCCACTTCTCAAAGTAAGCTCTTCATCTATTCTGAGCGTTCGCGCTGAGCATCCGGTAGACAACATTCTATTGCACCGAATCCGCCGCCTTCAAAAACCAGACACTTTTCTTTCGACAGGATGATTGGAAAATACTATGCCAGCCATTGATTGATAAATTACGCTCTGACAACTTTGAGAAAGTTTCGGTAAGGGATTATCCTCGAGAGGTGACCGCTCTAATGTCCATCATAATACAAGACGGATGATTTGAGCCTTAGGAATAGGAAACTTGGATTTTCCTTTGTTCGCTTATTACCGAAAGAAACTGGTGTGCGCCCCATCATCAACCTTCGACGGAAGCCAGTAGCAAAGGTTAGTGAATCGATTGAGACCAAATTATGTATTCACATACAACCAGAGCTCTGATAAAACAGAGCTGGAGCCATCAATCAACCAAATCTTGCAAGGGGCTTTCAATGTACTTGCATTTGAACGGGTATGATACGACACATAAATCGGCTCTCTCACTCAAGGGGTTTAGGAACGGCAATCTCATCTTCAAGGGGCATCTATACTCAGTCACGACGGAATATACACCAAACTGAGAGCCTTCAAGGAAAAGCTTATATCAAAGACCGGTAGAATGTACGTCTCTTTTTTGGATTCGGGCTTCATATCTCAATCATATACAAAGTCCAAAGCTTTACTTCGTGAAGATGGATGTCAAGTCTTGTTTCGACACCATCGAGCAGGGTAAACTTCTGGAGATTGTGCGGAAGATCATAAATGAGGTACAAGCCCATCATCAAGCAGTGGTATCAATATATTAATCAATGCTCAGGAGAGTTATACCATTCAGCGTTATGCACAGTTGCATTTATCTACCGGGAAAGTTAAGCGTAAATGGATACGCAGTGCAGTACCTGAAGGTATGTTCTCAACACTTTATGCAGCCATCCCCCCCTGACCAATCAAAGACGAACATGCAGATTTCTTTTCACTTGCTTCAGATCTTGCCGCTTGTCTTCGTCAGGTTGTCTTTTGTGATCAAGTCGTATATTCTAATGAAGATACCGAACCACTCTTGGCACTATTAGAAGAGCATATCACTACTAATATCGTCAAGGTTGCATCCATTCAATTCATTCTTCATTTTATGCTCATTTAGACGCTAGATTGGCCGAAATTTCTATCGACAGTCCCTTGGAATTCCACAAGGCTCGGTATTGTCAACTATTCTCTGCAATTTTTTCTATGGAGACCTCGAAACATCCCAAAAGTTTAAATTTACAAAGGATCCCTCGAGTGTAAGTATTCTCTTAGAGCCGAGCTAGCTATTAACAAGACATCACCAGCTTCTCCTTCGATATGTCGACGATTATTTGTTCATAACAACCAAATTTCCTTTAGCCCAAGAGTTCCTTGCCATGATGAATAAAGGTAAGCAACCTCAACTGTGGCGCTCTCAAAACTCACTTTCCCAAAGGGCATCCTGAATACGGATGCTTTGTGGCAAAGGATAAAACTGTCGTCAACTTTCCTACGAACGAAGCAGCCTTATCTATTCCTGATCAAAGAGGTACACTTCTCAACAATGACAGGAGCTCTGTTGACAAAGTCGATGCTAGAAATGATGTGGTGCGGTCTCAGTCTAGATACCAAAACCCTGAACGTGAAGGTGGACGGCTCACGCTACGACAGTTATAGTAAGCCAGTTTACGCAGCTTGACAGTGGATTTCTGACAGGTGTGCCCATATTAGAACTTGAAAACACTCTCACTGTGCATAAGGGCAAAGGCCCTGGACAAGGATTCAGGTACAGGATGTTGGGGTTCGTTTCCTACCCATGAGGTTCATTTGGATACTGACGTCCGCTAGGCTATGTCGACTAAGGACGCACATAATTTTCACCGACACCACATTCAATTCTCCCGTAGTCGTCAAGCAGAACATCTATGAAGCTTTCTTGCTTACTGCAATGAAGATGGCACAGTATCTGAAAGAATGGGGTCTCGACGTGGAGAAGCGGTACGATTTTGTGCTAGGTAAATCTTCGGTCCTGTATCCATATCATTTATCTAATATCTATGCAGAGTGCATATCACAATCCATTCAATATACTGTATACAGTATTGCGTCCAAAAGTCGTTCAACAATCGCACGTACACACCAAGCCAAGTGTTCGCTCGGAAAAGACATTATTACCTGGTGAGCTCATATTTGATATAGTAGGCGTTCAGTAGCAATTCTGATAGATTACAAGGTTGGGCTATCATGCGTTTCACACAGTATTTTCACGGAACAAAGTGCGGTTTGGGATCATTTTTCCTGCTCTAAAGAAGCAGTTTATGAAACCCAGCTTCCGATCCAT